GAAGGTAAAGTCGCATGGAGTCAGAGGTGAGCTTGCAAGATGGATAAAAACTGGCTCGGTCATAGGAGACAGAGGGTTGCAGTGGAAGGGTGCGTTTCTGAATGGAGGGCTTTGACTAGTGGCGTTCCTCAGGGTTCAGTGTTGGGACCGTTGCTGTTTGTTTCATATATATAAATGATTTGGAGGAGAATGTAATTGGTCTAATTAGTAAGTTTGCCAATGACACAAAGGTTGGAGGAATTGTGGATAGCAATGAGGACCGTCAAAGGATACAGCTGGATATAGATGGGTTGGTGACTTGGGCAGTGAGATGGCAGATGGAGTTTAATCTGGAAAAATGTGAGGTAATGCATTTCGGAAGGTCTAATCCAGATGGAAAATATACAGTAAATGGCAGAACCCTTAAGAGTACTGATAGGCGGAGGGATCTGGGTGTACAGGTACACAGGTCACTGAAAGTAACAACACAGCTGGAAAAGGCAGTCAACAAGGCATAAGGCATGCTTGCCTTCATTGGCTGAGGCATTGAGTTTAAAAATTGGCAAGTAATGTTGCAGCTTTATGGAACCTTAGTTAGGCCGCATTTGGAATATTGTGTTCAATTCTGGTTGCCACACTACCAGAAGGATGTGGTGGCTTTGGAGAGGGTACAGAAATGATTTACCAGAATGTTGCCTGGTATGGAGGGCATTAGTTATGAGGAGAGGTTGGAGAAACTTGGGTTGTTCTCACTGGAACGACGGAGGTTGAGGGGCGACTTGGTAGAGGTCTACAAGATTATGAAGGACATGGACAGAGTGGACAGTCAGAAGCTTTTTCCCAGGGCAGAAGAGTCAGTTACCAGGGGTCATAGGTTTAAGGTGCGAGGGGCAAGGTTTAAAGGTGATGTATGAGTAAGGTTTTTTTTTTTACCCAGAGGTGGTGGGTGCCTGGAACTTGCTGCCGGGGGAGGTAGTGGAAGCAGATACTACAGTGTTGTTTAAAGGGCGTATTGACAAATACATGAATAGGATGGGAATACAGAGATATGGTCCCCAGAAAGGTAGGGGGTTTTAGTTGTGATGGGCAGCATGTCAATGCAGGCTTGGTGGACCGCAGGGCCTATTCCTGTGCTGTAATTTTCTTTGTTCTTTCTTTGCTCTTTGTTCTAACTCTCCTGGCTTGTTCAAGTCCTTCTGCAGCCTCCCTGTTTCCTAGACATTACCTGTCCCTACACCAATCTTTGTATCATCTGTAAACTTAGCAACAATGCCCTCAGTTCCTTCATCTAGAGTGTTAATGGGTAACGTGAAAAGATGTAGTTCCACAAAGATCCCCTGCGGAATTCCACTAGTCACCAGCTGCCATCCTAAAAAAGTGCCTTTAATGCCACACTCTGCTTTCTGCCAGTCAGCCAATCCTCTATCCATGCTGGTACCTTGCCCCTAACATCATGGACTCTCATTTTATTTTGCAGCCTTCTTTTGCATCTTGTCAAAGGCCTGTAGAAAGCCAAATAAATCACATCCACTGGCTCTCCTTTGTCTAACTTGCTCATTACCTCCTTAAAGAATGCTAACATTTGTCAGGCATGACCTCCCCTTGACGAAGCCATGCTGACTCAGCCCTATTTTACAATGCACTTCCAAGTATGCCATCTTTAATAACGGACTCTTCAAATCTTACCAACAACTGAGGTCAGGCTAACTGGCTTGTAGTTTACTGTTTTCTGCCCCCCACCTCCCTTTTTAAATAGGGGTGTTACATTAGTCATTTTCCATTCCTCTGGAACATTCCCTGATCACACCATTACCTCTACAATCTCTTCAGCTATCTCCTTCAGAACTATGGGGTGTAGTTAATCTGGTCTAGATGATTCATCTGCCTTCAGATCTTTCAGCTTCCCCAGCACTTCTCCTTGGTGATGGCCACTACTTTCTCCCCTGCCCCTGATTCGCTTGAGGTTCTGGTATACTGCTGTCTTCCAACACGAAGACTGATGCAAAGTACTTATTCAGTTCTACTGCCATTTCTTTTTTCCCCATTACTACTTCTCCTGCCTTATTTTCCAGCAGTCTAGTCTCCACTCTTGTATCTCTCTTTTCTTTTCGATATCTAATAAAACTCTTGCAATCTTGCCTTATATTACTAGCTCACTTACTCTCAAGTTTCATCTTCTACCTCCTTATTGCTTTTTTTTTTAAAAATTATCCTTTCTTTTCCTTTTATTCTGTCCCTGATTTCTCTTGCCAGCCACATCCTCCTCTTGCTGTGTTTTTTTTCTTCCTTGCAATGAATTTCTGCTGTGCCTCCTGAATTACCCCCAGAAACTCCTGCCATTGCTGCTCCACCGTCTTCCCTGATAGGCTCCCCTTCCAATTAACTCTGGCCAGCTCTTCCATCATGTCATTGTAGTTACTATTACTCAATTGTAATACTGTAACATCTGATTCCAGCTTCTCCCTCTCAAACTGCAGGTAGAATTCTATCATATTATGGTCAGTGACCCCAAGGGGTTCTTTCACCGCAAGCTCCCTAATCAAGTCTGCCTCACTACACATCACCAAATCCAGAACTTCCTGTTCTGTTGTGGGCTCTACCACAAGCTGCTCCAAAAAACCATTTTGTCAACATTCCACAAATTCCTTTTGTTGTCTCTCCTTCCAATTCAATTTACTCAGTCCACCATCATATGGAAGTCCTCCATGCTTTTTGTAATAGTGCCTTTCTTACATGATTTTTCTATCTCCTGATTTATTTTCTTCCTCAGATCCTGGTTACTGACAGGAGGCCTGGACATAAGGTCCTATCAGGGTCTTTTTTTCTTTGTGATTCCTCAACTCTACCAACATAGATTCGACCCATCCTGACTCTATATCATTTCTTAGTGTTGATTTAATTTCATTTCTCACTAACAAGGCAATCCCGCTCCCTCTGCCCATCTGGCTGTACTTTCAATAGTATCCTTAGGTATTTAGTTTCCAGTCCTGATCCCCTTGTAGCCACATCTCTGAGATATCCACAATATTGTACCCGCCAATTTCAATCTATACTACAAGCTGATTTATCTTGTTTTGTATACTGCGTGCATTTAAGTACACACCCTCAGTCCTGTGTTGACTGCCCCCTTCTCATAGCTGTCCCTTTATCTGCTGTGCCTGAAGTTAGATTTCTGACCCCTTCCATACTCTCTGTCCTATTACTTGCTCGGAAAACTTTAATAACCTCTGCTGAGCCCGCCCCCACTTAATATTTTCCATAACTGTCCATCCAACTGAATGCCCCCACCACCACTCTTTACTTTAAAGCCCTATCCACAGCCTAGTTATTCGATTCACCAGGACTCTGGTCGCAGCATGATTCAAATGGAGCCCATCCCATCAGAAAAGTTTCCTCCTCTCCCAGGACTGGTGCCAATGTCCCATGAATTCAAAGCCTTTTCTCCCACAATAAATATCAGTCAGTTATATAACATGGCATCTGTGCTCACAAGGAAGTTTTGTCAAATATGTCATGTTAATGCATTTGATTCTTTTATATAATGCACAAAATCATTTGAATTGCATATTAGCAGGGTCTTTTTCTATTATTTTCAAAGTATAAATTGAATGTCAATGATGATGATAGAAGTGCAAATAGTCAAAGTAATAAATTTTTAAAAATCAAATATGATTACTTTCTACAGTGGAATAACTTTTGTCAATTAACAGAAATAAAGTCTGCAGGTGTCATGAGTAGCTTGAGGGGGAAAATAATGTCTTTGTACTGAAACTGCCATCTAGTGTCTAGAAAGCAGATTAACTATTTGGTATCTATTGTTTTAAAGTACATTACAACTTAATGGAGTCTTAATTTCTTAAAAGCTAGGATTAAAAATATTAATGCGCAGATTAGTAGAGATACTTGTCACTTTAGCCCAACGAATAAAATCATTACTGGGAGCCATTCTTTGGTTTAGTTAATGCATAACCAAATTTTGAGACAAGATGATTTTTTTTCTAAGCATTTATAGTGCAATGACGTACTCTGTAGGAAGTATAACTGATTGGATTCAGTACTCAAACATGAAGGTAAATTGTACCTGTTGACGTAATAAAGCAAAAGTATTATTTTACAGCCCAGTTAAATAGCAAGATATCAGAAAATTAGGTAAGAAACACAATCATTTAAACAAATTTTAAAAATGATCAATTCACTAAAATAAAGGAAAATGAGAACACGTAAAATAGGAGTAGGTTATCTAACCCCTCAAACTTACCATGCCATTCAATAAGATCATGGCTGATCCGATTGTGCCCTTAATCCCACTTTCCTGCCTGCCTTCCATATCCCTTAGCTCCCATGTTAATCAAGATCTCTCAAACTCTACCTTAAATATATTCAAGTACTCGGTCTTCATTGGAATTCTCTACACCAGAGAGCAAATATTAATGATTCGCATAAGAAATTCCTTCTCATCTCCATCTCAAAATGGGAGACGCCTTATTTTAAACCTGTGCCCCTTAGTTTTCAATTTCCCCATGAAGGGAAACATTCTTTCAGCATCTACCCTGTCAAGGCTCTTCAAAATCTTATATGTTTATATCTTATAAACTCATCTTGCATTGAAAAAAATGCTGACATCTTTAAAATATTATCCCACTGTAAAATACTGATCCATGTACTATGTTGACTCACCTCGGAAAGTGACACTGGATTTTCCATAGTGGAAAAAAAGGACAATTTATCATTTTAATTCAATAAAAATATCAAACAACTCTAAAATACAGACTAGTCTTAAAGCCTTTGCTGTGATTTTACAGTACAGTACCTGTGCTTTTCAGCTGCCATTCATTCTTGGACTCTGTTACCTTGTCATGTCTTCTATAAGAGAACTAGGACAATTCTTTCCCCAGTGTAAATCCATAACACATTTGTATCAACAGCCATTCTGAAAGTGAATGTGACTGCCATGGTCACTTATCACTGCAGACTTCTCTTAATTCAAAGAAACGTCTAAAAAGCTGCAACAGCACTCTCACCTTGACAGCAGTTTCACTGCCTTCGGCTTTAAAATCTTCAAATTTCATTACATCGGCCATAATGAAGCCCTTCTCGAAATCTGTGTGGATCTTGCCAGCAGCCTGAGGTGCCTTCGTCCCTTTCTGTCAGTAGAAGGCCAAAGGAAAATTAATTGTTTTTAAGAAGATGGATTACAGGAGAGATGCATGTCCCTTTGATACAGTATCAGGCTTCAGAGAAACTTCGCTTCATATCACTTGACATGTCACATATACAATCAACCTTATCCTGATATTGGATACCCATTTAGGAAACCAGAGATAAAGTAACTCCTGTTATCAATGCAAAGCAGCAATTTTTGATACAGATTTTGAAGGTGGTATTGATTTTAGATGAAGTAATCTTGTCACTGTGAGTCCAGAGACATCTCTTCTCATTTAGGTTGTCTGAGGCAACATTTTGGATACATGATCTGAGAATATAATTGAATTTATTGACCCAAAAGGGCACAAACGGCATTTTTCAAAATGTTAGACATGCTTTGCTCACGACATTTTCGCAGTATGTACATTGGTACTCAAGCTTTCAATTCAAAAATCAATTAATGTTTTCAGATGTTAAAATTCTTTTAAAGAGATTCACGTTTGTCAGAATAACTGAAATAAAAAGAAAAAATATATACCATATTACGTATACAAATGACTATACTAATCTTAAAATGAAATACTTAACAATAACATTTTTAATGTTCAAATATATTATCTATCCAAAAGGATGTTGCTACGTAATTTTTCCAGTATTTTTGCCTTGTTCAACGAGGGGTAATTCAGGAAATGGGTGAAAATAAGCTTTAAAATTGTGTCTTTAAAGCTAAGCTTGAATTTAAATTTCAAGAACTCAAAAATACCCAGCTCAAAAAACAAGAGAAATATGCCAACATTGTGTTCATTTGTTAATAATAATTGTTATAATAATATTGTAAGCATGAAGTAATTTTCCTTGACTGAACACTCATAAATGTAACCATAATAAATCAGAGTTTAGTTTATGTAGGAGGACAGGAATACAATATTACGTGATTACCCATATGCTGATTTACAAGGGGTCTGCAATGTCAAAGATGGCCATGCAAGGAAATGTGACACATGATGACAACCTCAAAGATGTTTATCAGAGCATGATAAAGTGAGGGATTAGAAAATTTATTTTTCATAATGGAAGAGATTTTAAGTCAATATGGCTACTCATTGGTGTTTCCCTGACTAAATATCCTGAAGTATTCAAAGTTAATAAGAGCATTTAAGCAAAACGTGTCCATAATTAACATAGGCAGAAAAAATATTCCTTCCTGACCACAAGGTTATTTTATTGTACATACAATTTTATATCATAAAGGTCTCCATATTGGTACTATGGGCTGAATTGTAAGAGCACCATGGGCTCTATACTCCCCGCTGGATTAAAGGCCAGGGCATGGCTGGTTCAGGACAAGAACAGCTCTGTAGTCATTTAATTAGAAGCAATAGGCTGAATTTCTAACCTCTGGCATGAAGCTCCCCTTCAAAGTTTTCTGTCAGCCAATCAGAGGTTGCCAGCTTAAGATGCACTGGTAGCAATTACAGGACCAATGCTGGTACTGGCTTAAAGTGATAAGGATGCAAATTGCAAAGAATTGGAGCTTTGGAAGTATTTGGATTGGTAAATTGGAGGGCAGGGGGAGGGAAGAAGGGGTTGGCATGCAGGTTTGTAAGGTGATGAGGACAGGATAACCTGGGGCTCTTTATGGTTTCTGGCAGACAAGGGCCTTCAACGGCCCCTGTGCCCTACTTAAGGATGGACCCCATCATCACAACCAGTCGGTGCAATGAAACCTTAAAGACTGGCTGCTTGATCGAAGCAAGATAGAGCCCTTAAGCTGCGCCTTATGCCCTCTATAGGTCCACTGGCAGGTAGCCACTCAATGCACTCCCCCACCATTGTTATAGTTGTGTTGAACACAGGCAAAGACAAGTTTCCACCCACTGGATTTAATCTGCCCCCACAATAAACGTACCAACCAATATGGATTATATTCAATCATATATTAAAAAAGTAAGACCGCCAGAACTACAGGTTATTCGTTTAATATCTATTATCATTTGGTTAAACAGAGACTTATTTTAATCTGAATTGGTTTTTAGTCACCAAATACAAAGTTACAGCCTAAAACTGCGGCAATGTTATATCAGACCTCCAAGATTTCAGAAAGCTAATATACTCATATTACCTAACAGCTTTAAGCTGTAAGATTATGATCCTACTTACAATTGTCTTAAACAAAAATGCAAACTTTGTTCACTGCATGCTATACCCCTTTTCCAAGGTAACTCGTTTCACACCATCTAACTTGACTTTTCAATCAGCATATGCACAGCAATGAACAACAGAGTCAATATTATATTGCACTTCAAACAGCCTGGGGAGAGTGAAAGACTACTATGGCTGCAGTGGTACATAAATTCACCTCTTCATGTGAAAAAGTATATTTATTACTACATAATTTACGTGGTTACTCAAAATATAATTTAAATAGAGATAATAATATAATATTAACTTGACATCAAAACATATAATTGAATAACCAAAGTCATTCTTAATGCTTTAAAAAAAACCTCCCAATTTGATAAAACTGTGGCAAAACAAACAGGCAGAAAAAACTCAAGGAACTAAATAGTACACTCTTGTTCCTATCCTTCAAACAAACTACATTCCATTCAATGCCATTTCCTTTAAAGGTGTGCACATGGAACATACGAAGAAATTTAGCATTTTGTTTCTCTTCTGATGAAAGGAAGTGCTCCATTAACATCAGCTGTTGTCTCTATTATTTGCCTCTACTGGGCTGAAAAGTGAATTTCAGCTTTTGAAAAATAAATAACAATGAAAGAGATGGCAACTCTTGTTTCTACAACACAATTACACAGTGCCCAATAATTTTGAAGGCCCTTATAGAATACAAATTAGGGCTTCATTTCAGAAATAAAAATGATGCATATTTCTACCAGGTAAGAAATTTTTAACCACTATTATACAAGATATAAAACCAGGAAGAAGTTTGAATCGAAGTTCATTTTATAAAGTTCCCAACATCACAATTTACAACAAGGATCATCGAACTTTTATGTTCACATTTGGTGAGAGTAGAATGTCTTGCCAAGTAATTTGAAATATTTACTTTTGCAAGCTGCATCATTAAGCAGTGAACAACTCATGATTGCAATGCATGCTTTAAAGTAGAAAATTTGTAACGAAAAGCTCAAATAATTTAATGTAGTCAATCGTATACATAAATTCAACTACGATGAATAACTCCCTACACATCCTGGGTATAAATAGTGTATGTCAAATTGCTAGTCTTCATTAAATTTTAATCTGCACATTTCAAACTTTACAAACAAATTGAGACAATAATCAAATATTGAAAAAAGACTGATTTTGTATTGTATACTATTAACATGTAGAACTAAAGTGTCATGAAAAGCTCAACTGTGTGCTACAAACATTAACCTGCAAGAGATCAGCATTAAAAATGGGAAGTTTAAAGTAAATTCATGAGTATGACTGAAAAAAAACACTTTACATACTAACAGCAGATTACATAATACATTGCTTATAAACTTCATGTTAGTCAAGCAAGAGAAGACGCCACAGACAACCCAAACAAACTTAGCAAATACCAAATGAAAAGCAACATCAATTTCACTGGCGACAAACCCAGTCACACAGATTAAGCAAGCACAATACTGATGTGCCTTATCTCTGACCACAGGAGGAGGAAAGATAGATTCTGCAGGATGAAGAAATTCATACTATGTAATAGGCAGAATCAATTGCTACCTGCCTCAATCAATGCACCCCACTTTCACTGTTCAACAGCTCACAAATAATTAAAGTTAACACGAACAAAACCCAGCCTATAATGACTAGCTAACCACTGCCATGACAAACTTAAAAGTCGATGATATCAATCTGAATTCAACAGTGTGGAACTGTATATGGCTGACAACAGACTGTGAAACATACCTTTATGGTCCATGCTCGCACTTCATCTGGCCCTGCAGTAAAAAAATATTCAAGCTGCAGAGATGAGAATCCAGTCTTGATGATCTTGGGCAAAGCACTGAAATCACAAACACACTGGTGTTTCTTCTAAAGAATGTCCAAGTTATTTCATTGCAAACAGTTTAAAGCTATTTACTAACATTTTAGCATTTTGCAAATGTCTATTCCTAAATAATGATTTCAAATAATATGACGCAAACATTGTCTTTCATAAAGCTATTGTCCAAAATGTTTTATTCTCTATTATTTAGACTTGTTTATAATAGTCATAACTTCATATATTGTCAGAAAACATACACATTGAAATTCTTCAAGTAGTGTGCATTTGAAGTTATAGCACAAGCACACATGATACTCTAAAGAGTTCTGAAGAAGTCATTTGACTTGAAACGTCAATTTTATTGGTCTTTCCAAAAATGCCACCAAACGTGATGGAGTATCTCCATCAGTTTTTGTTTTAATTTTTGAGTCTCTGAACACCCTCTTCCATGTCACATCAGATATAATAATAAAGATTTTGCAAGGATAATGGTCCTGGGTGATATTACCCATGATCTGATTTGAACCATCCAACATCTCTAACATGATTATCAGCTATTAATACTTGGTGATAAGAAATATAATTTCAGGCTTACCAATATTTCTAAATAAAAACAAAATCAGGTTCCAATAAAAAATAAAATTTAATAAAATTAATATGAGCCTGAACAATGCTTAGTGCAACTGTATATCATATGGGCTATACCAATAGAAATGCACACTTTAACACTGCCTCATTTAGAAAATGAAAAATCATGGGGCGAGTTTCAATGACTACCACCCGGTGGCTCTGACCTCCATAATTATGAAGTCCTTCGAAAGGTTTGTCATGGCTCACATCAACTCCAGCCTACCAAATTGCCTTGATCCTTTGCAATTCACCAACTGGCACAACAGGTCCACATCTCCCCAGCCATACACTCATCCTTGGAACATCTGGCTAACAAGGATACCTACGTCAAGCTCCTACTTATTGACTATAGCTCTGCCTTCAACACCATAATTCCAAACAAACTCATCTCAACACTGAGACCTAGGTCTCGGCTCCCCCATTTGTAATTGAATCCTCAACTTCCTGACCCATAGACCGCAAAAATAGGTGACAGCACCTCCTCCACCATAATCCTCAACACTGGTGTCTCGCAACGATGCGTACTCAGCCCCCTACTATATTCCTTATACACTCATGACTGTGTGGCCAAATTCCACCCCAACTCCATTTACAAGTTAAAAACCGAAAAAACTGCGGATGCTGTAAATCAGGAACAAAAACAAAGTTGCTGGAAAAGCTCAGCAGGTCTGGCAGCGTCTGTGAAGGAAACAACAGGATTAACGTTTCGGATCCAGTGACCCTTCCTCAGAACTTCAGTTAATCCTGTTGTTGCCTTCACAGATGCTGCCAGACCTGCTGAGCTTTTCCAGCAACTTTGTTTTTGTTCCATTCACAAGTTTGCTGACAGCACCACCATTGCAGGTTGGATCTCAAACAACGACAATACAGAATAGAGGAAGCAGACTGAGTGCTTAGCGGCATGGTATAGAGACAACAATTTCTCGATCAATGCCAGCAAAACAAAGGAGCTGGTCATTGACTTCAGGAAGTGGAGTTGACAGGATGCCCCTGTCTGCATCAATGGTGCTGAGGGAGAGATGGTAGAGACCGTCAAATTCCTGGGAGTGATGATCACCAACGATCTGTCCTGATCCACCCTGTCAACATGATGGTCAAGAAACCACAACAACGCCTCTACTTCAAAAAGCTAAGGAAATTTAGTATGTGCACAAGGACACTTATCAATTTTTATAGATACACCATAGAAAGCATCCTATCTGGATGCATCACAGCATGGCATGGCAACTGCACTTCCCAAGTCCGCAAGAAACTACAGAGAGTCGTGAACATGGCCCAGTCAATCACACAAACCAACCTTCGATCTACTGACTCTATCTATGCTTCCCATCAATGCTTCCCACTGCCTCGGGAAAGCAACCAACATAATCAAAGTTCCCTCCCGCCCCAAGTATTAATCTCTTCCACCCTCTTCCAGCCGGCAGAAGATATAAAAGTTTGAATACACATACAAACACAAACAGATTCAAGAACAGCTTCTTCCCTGCTATTATCAGACTTTTGAGCAGACCTCTCAAATGTTAATTCTGATCTCTCTCTTTGCACCTTCTCCATGGCTATCACACCGTATTCTGCACTCTGTTCTGCTACCCTGATACACTTTGTATGGTACGATTTGCCTGTATAGCATGCAAACTGACACTTTTCATCGTACATGGTACATGTGACAACAATAAACAAACTCAAACTGAATTATTATGTTATTACAATTCTGCACGATTATCGCCATAATTTGATGTGGCACATTACTTACTTTTGACGACCTGTGACAGATTTCTGCTGCTTTGGATTCACAAAATATTACAGTTGCAAGAAATATTCCATTTTAAAATAATGAGGATGTAAGCAACGCGCAAAAGCTCCTCATAATGAAAGCTGACTTCCGGTTTCAGTTTAACATTTCATAATTTAAGAAATATCTTCTCACTTCCTCAAAGCATATAATCCTACTTTTCTAAGAAGCTGTACAGAAGAAAATATGAATGAAGGTAAAATGATCAAACAAGGGGGATACTAAGTAATTTGACCCCTTCCTTGGAAACCTTCTGAATACAATTCAACTCTCATTTTCCGAATGCCTAAACACTTAACAGCAGAAAGTGGAGCAGCTTAGGAGGAGAATGAGTCAACAACTTATTAACAAGGAGCAAACCCACAAACAAGAGCATAAATGGCTTAGGACCATGTCTGATTCATCTGAACTCTATGAACCTGGAACAAATTACTTTGGAAAAAAAAAGAACAAATTACTTGAGGGCTATTACGATACCAATGGCATTATCTCTGCCTCTAGGCCAGGAGGCCTGGATTGAAGTCTCACCTGCTTCAGGGGTGGTTTAAAAATGTCTACAACAAATTACTTATACCTCTGCTTCATGTACAAAGTATCCAGATCAAATAAGCAAGTACAACCGCATACTCCTCTGACAAGCACCAAGAAATCAAAATGCCCAATACTTTTGTAAAGTATATTTTCATTCCAGGCGAGACCACCAAAATTGGGAACAATAACTTTTTTTTTAAAAAGTAGACAACACTAGAAATCCCAGATACATGCAAAGATTTCACAATTTTGAACAAATACATAAACTTTAGATCATTAGAAAAATAAAACAATTTGCTACATACACAAATACACATACAGAAGTTATATTTTAACATTCAGATTTAACGTCAGGTAAATGGGTGTTAAGACATTTATAGTGCACTATGCAGCACATTAACTATCAGATGCAGATGAGATAGATCCCACAGATTTCTCTACAATTCACCCAGATCCTATGATGATACTACGGGTCACCAAATCTAATTAAATTTTTGCCTCCTTTACAAAGGATTCCAATTCTTCACATTTGAAGATATAGCTCTGAATGTCCCTCAAAGTCACTCTGCCAAGGACTGCCTCAATGAGTGCTTATGTCCTGGTACAAATCTTTTGTCTCAAGACCACAATCCCCAGAATTTGCAAGATTGCTGACAAGCAGCCAATTACCAGCACAATTTCAGCTTTTTACTAAACTTCATCGAGTTGCCTGAATTTCTCAGAGCCTCAATTTTTGTCAGTTACACCAAACAAACAGTACTTAAGAGCTTTCCTCATGCCCCCTCTCAGGTACAAACTGCTCTCAGAACCAGAAATACTTACTTATCAGCATCTCAATCTCTTCATCCAAGACTGCATCCCATTGGCTTTCACATTCAGCAGTTCTCTAGCAACATAGGAGGCACCTTCTCTTACTCTGTCTCACTGACAAACTGACCAAATCATTGCTGTTGGTATGCCCTCTTAACACATTCCAAAAGGGTCCCACTGTTCCAAAGCAAAATCAAATGTAGCAACCATTGGAACACTGTGCATTGAATGTTACAATATTCATAGGTTGCTCGCTTACACAGCGAAGATGGATGCAAAGAATTTTTCCCCCCACAAAGTATTTAGATTAAAAACAAATTCTGCCAATCATCATTTAAAAACGGAAGTTCGCAGAGAAAAATAGCTACTAACCTTTGCGTTTTGTTTTCTTCCATGTATTTCTTTGTTTCATCTTCACCCATTTCCTGTATCTTTAGTTCAAGTACTCCACTGAAAGGTATTACCATTGCTCTTGGGTCATGCTTGTCTACCCACTCTTTAATTTTTACCAACCTGTAAACAAAAGGCACAAAAACATTATCATGAGCTGCATGCATCACTGTATCACATTCATTATCCAGTACAATATTCATTAGCAACGTGCGGTTTTTATGATGCTTTTTTTTGTATGTTCCTTCCAAGGTCAAGTCCTCAAGTAATGATTATGCTATGAATTTGAAATACCACTAAAGTTGCAGTTAGCTTTTACTCAATCTCAAGTTGCAGTCACATAGTATGCTCTTTATATGGAAGCATGGGAAAGAACACATAACAACGCAAGTAAATTATTCAATGTCATTTGTCTTGCCAACACAACCCACTGTATTCTGTTCGCAAATCTGCCAGCTTGTTAGGGTCAATGGACATATATGTAGGTTGATTGAGCTACACGGAGCGTCAAAGATACAAGAGAAGTGGGGCATGAAACATCAAGGGCAACGGAGAGTACAGCAAAGCCAATCAAGATGGAATCTGTTGTAGCAATGCTAAGTTCTTTGAATAAATGTATAGGCAGCCAGTTATCAGAATGCAAATAAAATATATTTGGAATGTTGCAGTGAACCAACTTCTTTGGTGCAGAATTTAAATGATTTACCCCAGTTTGGAATTCTGTCTTTAGATCCGGCAGCTTTGTTACGTTAACCTGAAACCAACTTAAAGCATTGAGATAATAGATAACACAGCTCCCAACCACTGCCATGACTGCAGTAAAAACAGCCAGAAATCTTTCTGGGAGTAGGCTAGACTCATGAGTTATTAAATGGTATCTTGAGTGGATTCTTTTGTTGTTCCATTGTGTCAATACCCCTTTGAAATTTCTGACTTTGGTGTCACTATCATTGAGTTTCAAATTATTTAAGAGGAGCAGACAGTGTAAGTGGCCTCTTCCCTTTTTGGAGATGCTTAATGAATCAACCTTGGTTAGCAAGCATATTTGTGATTGGCTTGATATAAAATGAACTGAAAGCTTCTTTTCAACCAATGGCTGTTGAATTATTTCAACTATGCTTTCCAATTGTGAATCAAAACATGCATTATGACAAGTCAAAAGACAGATATTTTTGATCATGGAGATAGAGATGAGAGGCTTGAAGTCAACAAGGGCCTGAAGGGTAGCACTGTGATTTGCTGGAAGCAAAAGCTGGTGAATTGCTTGCCAAATCTTTCAAAGCTCCTTTGAAAGATTTGGCAACCAGACATGGTATTGTGCTTGTAATGCAATTCAGAAATACACTACGATGCACAAGGAAGGAATAAACTACCACAGCCCTCAGAAAACACAAGTGCAGAGTTCAATTTTATTGATTATCAATTGTCAGCTAAGTCTCATGAAACTGTATTCTTAGTGCCGCAAAAATCCCATTACTACTTTCCAAAGGACAAAAGGCTAAATGATTTTTAAGTCTTTAATTATGGCAAATGCAAAAATTGTTTGAAATTAACTTATTAGCCAGCTAGTCTGCTTCAAAAGTATATAACTACTTTCAAGCTAAGAGGATACTCTTTCTTTTTGTATCACTCAACAGCTTTTCTGCTAAGAAATTCCAGTCAAGCTCAGCTGGATTGGCCAGTATCAACTCTTCAAGGCTATTGCTTTGAATGCCACCTTCCCACAACCTCATCAAAGTCTTCTGTACCAACAACATATCAGATATCAAATTTTGAAGCCAGGTTCTCAGTTTTCTTGCCCAGAACAATTTAGCACTTAACATAGGTAATAGGAAAAATAGGAGCAGGAGTAGGCCATTCAGCCCTTCAAGTCTGCTCTGCCATTCAATATGATAATGCTGATCATTCAACTCAGCACCCTGTTCCCACTTTCTCCCCCAAACCTGTTGATGCCTTTAGTTTATAACGCGCAGGAGAGAACAGGAAAAGTAGATTCTGTAGCAGTTCAGGGCTAGTGGATGCCAGTGTGATAACAGTGATCTCATTTGCAGCAAGTGCTGGCTGTTCAAGGAAATTTGGATCAGAGTTGATGAGCTAGTGTGAGAACTGCAGACACTGTGATATATCAGAGAGGGGGAAGAGATCTCTGGACATACTGTTTCATGAAACATCGTATGGAGATCTAGTATTTACTTTCAAAGAAGTGTCAGCCAGTGACCTTGTGTAAAATTGGTACGAGGTTTTTGCTCCTGGTATGGATGAGGAGATAGATTGCAGGGAGGATGAGTGAACTGACCACAGCATTGTGGTTAAGAGATCCATTCGATTTGGGTGCAGAGGTAAAATTTAGCATTAATAGAGGATAGCATAGTTGGGGCAATTGATACAGTTCTCTGCAGCAAAGACAGAATGTCTCAAAGGCAGTGGTGATGTCCACTTGATGCCAATGTTCAGGACATCTCTCTGGGCTGTAGAGGAACTTGGAGTGGGAGAGGAAGAATCCAGTTGTTGTGTGCCATGTACATATCAATGATCTAGGTGGAATAGGGAAAACGTTCTGATGAGGGATTACAAGGAGCTTGGGGCTCATTTAAAACACAGAACCACAAATGTAACAGCCTCTGAATTATTACCTGATCACATGCAAATTGACAAAGGGTAGAAAGAGTAAAGGTAATTTTGTCGCTCAAATATTGCTGTGGAGAAAGGGGCTCCAATTCATTGGGCATTGGCACCAGAACTAGGGAAAGAGAGAGCTCTTCTGTTTGGATGGGCTTCATTTAAACCATACTGTGCTGGTGGATTTAAAACTTGGCTTCATACTAATCAGTGGACAGGAAAGTTCAATTGGAGGGAAGTTTAAAAAATAATCAAAAAGAAATGAAAGGACGGGGTGCAGGGTAGTGAAGATGTGAACAGTAATCAAAGCATGACAGGAAGGGCAGAAAAAATACGCAGAAGAGTGCAGCAAAAATCAGAAATAATAGTTAAAGGTCAAGGCTAAAGGCTCTTTAACTGAATGCATACTGCATTTTTAATAAGATACATGATTTGACGACACAAATAAAATGAATATGACTTGATACCTATTGCAAAGGCATGGATTTAGGGTGACCAAGACTGAGATTCAACATTCATGGATACTTGACATTCTGGAAAAATGGACAAAAAGGAAAACACAGTGGAGAGCAGTGTTAATAAAGGAGGGTGAGTAGTGATAGAGGTATCACAAAATGGAAATAAGGAATAATAGGGGAAAGAAGTCATGGGTGGAAGTCATCTATAGGACCACAAAGAATTGTCTCCCTGTAGGGCAAGGTATAAATCAGGAAATAATGGAGGCACACAAGAAGGTCATTACGAATGTTATGCATGATTTTAATCTGTACATTGACTGATCAAATCAGATGGGCAAGGATTACGTGGAAGATGAATCTGATGAATGCATCAGGGATTATTTCTTAGAACAGTATGTTGCTGAATCTATCTTTTTTAGATCAGGCTGTGTTAGGTCTAGTAATGTGTAATGTATAATGTGTTAAAGTTAACAATCCTTTAGAGGGTAGCAATCACAAAATGGTAGAACTTTATATTCAGTTTGAGGGAAAGAAACCTGGGTCTTGAACCAGTGTCCTCAACTTAAAGGCCATTACAGAGGTATGAATAAAAAGTTGCCCAATGCAGGCTGGAAGATAAGACTAAGGGGAAAGTCAGTGGATGAGCAGAGGCAGACATTTAAGCAAGTAGTTCATAATGTTCACAAAAAAATTTTCTAATCAAAAAGAAGAATGAGCCACCTTGGTTATCTAAGGCTTCAAGGAGAGTATCCAATCAAAATCTAAGGATTGCAAAGGAGCAAAAGCTAATGATAGGCCAGTGAATTGCTTTCCTTTTTAGGAACCAAATGAATGAAAAAGCTAAGAGAGTTGATTATGAAAGTAAATTGGTAAGAAGTATAAAAACAAACAGCAAGAGCTCCTATATAAAAAGAGAGTAGTTAAAGTAAATGTTGGAACCTTGGAGGACGCAACTGGGGAAACTGATACTGAACAGGGAAATGTCAAATAATTTATAACAATACTTTGCATTGGTCTTCACAGTGGAGGTCACTAAATCCCAAAGGTAACAGATAAGCAAGGTGTTAATGGGAAGAAAGATCATATTACAGTATCTATTTTAAGGGACAAAAGTATTTGACAAATGAATGGGACTAAAGGTAGATATGTCACCAACACCTGATGACCTGCATCCAAGGATTTTAAAGGAAGTGGCTACAAAGACAGTGGAGGCATTGATTATAATATTCCAGAGGGTTCCAGTAAATTGGAGAAATGAGATATGCTTGATCAAGAAGAGAGAGAGATAGAAAACAGTAAACCAAATGTCAATTAGCCTAACATTTGTCATTGCAAAACTGCTCGAGTCGATTATTAAGGAAGAAATAGCAGAACATTTAGAGAAAATTAACTCAAACAAACAGAGTCAACATGGCTTGTGAAAGAGCAATCATGTTTAACAAATTTGCAAGAACTCTTTAAGGATATAACATGCAGAACTGATAGAGGAGAAAGCTGTAAATGTCATGTATTTGGATTTCTGGAAGGCATTTAATAAGGTGCCATATAAAAAGCTTAGCACAAGATCGGAGCTTACCACATTGGAGGGTAATGTATTATCATTAATTGAAAATTGGTTAATGCATAGAAGGCAGAGTCAGGATTAATAAGTCTTTTTCAGCTGGAAAGGTGTAACTAGTGGAGTGCCACAAGGATCAGCCCTAGGGCTTCTATTATTTACTAACTATATTATTGACTGCGAGGAAGACAGAGTATAACATATATACATTTGCTGATGTTAGGAAAAAAGGTGGCGGCATGTTGTTATGAGGACAAAAAGAATCTGCAAGGGCATATGGATACGTTGAATGGCTGTGCAGAAACCTGGAAAATGGAGTTTAATGTAGGAAAGTGAGGGGTAGGGAAAAAAATAAAAGACAGAGAGCATTCTGGGCCTTCTTGTGCATCGAACACAAACAGTTAGCATGCAGGTACAGCACATAATTAAGGCAAATGCAACCTTGGCCTTTATTGTTAGTGAGTGAAACTTAAAAATAGACGCATCTT